GTACACAACTCTGTGTGTAATATATATATGTGTGTTTGTGTGTGTCCCTACAAATATTAAATAAGCTATGGCTTAGGAACAAAAATCCCCTGAAATCTAAAATTGACTTTCCTCTGTTGCCTGCAACTCCCAAGGTAATAAAGTTAGGTTTATATTCTTATTGAATTGGAAACTGGCTGCATGTGGGTAAAAACCAAGTTCACATGCAGTCGCATAGCAAAAACCAGGTTTCACAGGAACAGCAAAGTCAGGTAAAGGCAGGAATGCCAGTGACAATAAAGGAGATAAGCAAATGCTGGCTGTAATAATTAAGGCAGTTTCCAGGATTGTAATGGCCCCAAAGTTAACCACTGTGTATTTGCCTCTTTCCCCACTCACCTGTTCCACCTAAAATATCTCACATAAACTCAAGGAAGATGGCATAGTCCATTGAGACCCAGCCATTATAGAGGGATCCAGGTTGGCATCCTCTTAAATGTTCTTCCTTTTCTTTCTCCAAGTGGCTATGGAGTTTCTGAAACATTATGAGTTGTTACCCTGTAGAAATAAGCACAAGTCTATTATTTTATGGAGTGATGTGTCAGTTTGCTTTTCTTATATTTGAAACATTGATTATTTGAAAGGTGGAGAATGAGAGAAAGAGGTATCTTTTCCATCTGTTGGTCCACACCTGAAATGACTGCAAAGGCCAGGGCTGGGCTAAGCCAAATCCAGGAGCCTAGAACTCCATCTGAGTCTGTGTTGTGAGTGACAGGGGCCCAAACAGTTGTGATGTGGGAGAAGACAGGTAGCCAGGTTAGGATAAGTCAGGAGGCACTCCCGCCTGCTGCTTTCTCAGGCACATCAGTAGGTAGCTGAATTGCAAGTGGAATATCTGAGACAGGGGCCAGCATCCACACAGGTGGAAGCTTTGCCATGGTGCCAGCTCCTGGAGATGCCTCTTTATTTCATCAGGAACCTGGCGTAGTAAGCATGTAAATGTGTACCTTAATCTGCATGTGGAATTTTCTAGTGTCATAAACTCCCAGGCAGCTATACTGCCTTACAAAAGGAGGTGCTAGGAGCTGCTCCCCCACCTTTCTTGGTGCTGAGCTGCCATCTCTCTTCTACCCTTCCCCCACCCCTTTTCTTCCTCTGGCCCGTGACCCTCCTCAGCTATGTACTCACATGTGTGTATGTTTGATCACTTTTACACAGTACATATGCCTGTGCTTAGAGTGCTTCTCTAAGTAGAAGACAGGGACCTGAAATAGAAAGCTAGACCCTACCTCCACTGCCTAACTTGGGCTTTCCCCATGCATTAGTAGGGAGCTAGATTGGAAGTGGACTAGCCAGGGCTCCAACTGGTGTTACATGAGATGCTGGGATTGCAGGTGGCTGCTAAACCCATTGTACAACGTTAGCACATGCAGTTTGTTTTTTAGACACAGCCGAGAATTTTGGACATTTGCTCATGTCACTCACACTGATCTGTTTCATTTCCTGTAACAAGAGATCTGCTAAGTGCATTTGAGAATCTAGGAAATGGAAGAATCCTGAAGAATATAAGTTATTTTTTAAAAGTTTCCATTATTATTTCTACCATGTTTGAAAGTATCTGAAATTAGTTTCAAATACTCCAGTTAAACTGAAAAACCCTCATAGGAATGATGGATGATAGAACATCAGGAAATCAATTTAAAAAGCTCAACATGCCACTCTGTTAGGTGTGATTGGATAGAAGACTGAGATGGGGAGATTATCCTGAATGATCTGGGTGGGCTCAGTGCAATCACGGAGGCCCGTCTAGGTGAGAGAGGGAAGCAGTCAGGTGGGTTGATGCAGTCAGTGCTGCTGGCTTTAAAGACTGAGATGGCAGTCCCCAGCCAAAGAATGTGCACAACTTCTACAAGATAGAAAAGGAAGCAAAGTGGAATCTTCCTAGGGGTTTCAAAAGGAAGGCAGCCCTTCCAGTGCCCAATGAGACCCAGTTTTCATTTGCGATCTACAGAACTTTAGGATGACAGCTAGGTGCTCTTTTAAGTCTTGAAGTTTCTGGTCATTTGGTACAGCAGCCAACAGGAAGTTAACACACCTCATCTGTTTAGTTTTGCAGCTGTGATAGCTTTTTGTCTCTGGCAGAAACTGTATTCAACCACAAGTGCCTTGTCTGAATTCATGACACATCTGTGGCTCCAGAGGGCGAGGGATGAACCCAGTCCTCAGAGGACCCCAAGTGAGCCAGAGCTGGCTCATGAAAATTGTTTTAAGTTATCAGAGTCAAAAGCAAAATGCAAAAGGGTAATCTGCCGAGCTCCAGGAGGATGTGTGCCGAGAGCTGCGTGGTCTGGTCTCGAGGTTCCAAGCCTCGCTAAAGCAGCTGACAATCTTGGCCTTCTCACATTTTATGCTTTGAATTATAGACTCCATAAGGTTGAGCCACAGTGCCAGCCCCTCATAGCTATTAAATATCAGGCACTAGGAATAAAATCCAGGGGCTCCAGGCTTGGTGTGATGGCTCAGTGACGAAATCCTTACCTTGCATGCACCAGGATCCCATGTGGGTGCTGGTTTGTGTTGTACCACTTTCCATCCAACTCCCTGCTTGTGACCTGGAAAAGCAGTGGAGGATGGCTCAAAGCCTTAAGACCCTGCACCCACATGGGAGACCTAGAGGAGGCTCCTGGCCTTGAATTGGCTCAGGATCGGCTACTTGGGGAACAAAGCAGCAGATGGAAAACCTCCCTCTCTCTATCTCCTTCTGTCTGTATAATCTGCATTTCCAATAAAAATAAATAAACAAAAAAGAAAGTCTTGTAAGTAGAGGTGGCCTATGTGCAATTGGAAACATAGCACTGGATGGTGCTTGCTGAAAAACCTTCCTGAAATAGTCTCTAATTTTTCTATGGTACTTTGTGTGCATATGCATGGATTAGATTTTCATCACTGTGGTGATATACCTGAGGCAGGATAAGTTTATAAAGAAAATAGGCTTATTTTGGCTCATTGTTCCAGAGGTACAAACTCTAGGGTCCTTATCTGGTACTGGCCTTCTTCCTAGTAGTCTTGGGCAGCACAGACATCACAGGGCAAGAGAGAGGGAATACATGTGCTTGTAGAAACACCAGGATTCAATCATGGTGGTCCAAACCCAATGAACGAATCCAATATAATCAGGTCCCAAAGGCTTCCCCTCTAAATATCATAACTGGCTTGTATCTACCCATAGTACCATTAGTCTTTGGAGACTAAATGCCTGCTTGAGTTTAAGGGGACAGATATTCAGGACACAGCATGTATATGCATGTGCACATAGAAAAAGTCAAGTTGTCTTTCAGAGAAGCCTTGTAGCTTAACTCATGTTGGCTACTACATATATGTTTATGTGTATGTATATTTACATACACACATGGGTTCAGTCATGATGTCTAAATGGCAATGGAAACACTGAAGAGTATAACTGTCATGAAAAAAATCCTAGAAATTTTTCTTGCCATGAGATACATTTTAATGTTTCATAAAATAAATATTGAACATTACATCTGCTTCATATGCTTATATAGAGTAAGCAAATGCAATATGAGGCTGAAGATCAGCCTTCAGCTAAAATACAATAAGCACTCAATAAATAAGTAATAAACCAACAAACACTGATCCGAGTCATCCATAGAGAACAGTGTATCTAGAACAATGGAGGAAAAGGACCGATGGGCTTTTTTCTGTAGGCCAAATGAAAAGGACATCTGCTATTACAAAATTTTGTGTAATAATTTTTAAAGATTTACTTATTTATAAGGCAGAGTTACAAAGAGAGAGAGTAACATATTTTCCATCTACTGGTTCATTCCCTAAACAGTTGCAATGGTCAGGGATAAGAGACACCAAAGCAAAGAGCCAGGAACTCCATCTGGGTCTCCCATGTGGGTGGTTGGGGCTCAAGCACTTGGGCCATCTGCTGCTGCTTTTTCAGGTGCATGATTGGGGAGCTGTATTAGAAGTGGAGCAGCTGGGACATGAACTGACACCCATATGGGATTTCAGTTTTGTAGGTGGTGGCATAACCTGATGTGCCAGCATAAGAGCCCCTACTAGCAAAAAGACCAAAATAATGGTTTAAAAGAGGAATTTTTGATATTTAAAATTGTCTACTTGTAGCCAATAGAAGGTCACACTTAACTCTTCTCTGGGTGTACTCGCTTGGCATCATCTGATAAGAAAACTGAATCAGTCACCCATCCTGGATATTCATTAGTTCATACTGAAAATATGTGACAGAAGTTGGCTATATGTAATGTCAACAAAAACACACTTTTTGAAGATGTTGTTAGTAATTTTCCTAAAAACTAGTTTAAGACACTGAGTATTATGAAAAGTGGCTGTATATATTTATAAACTCTTTAAAATACATGGTTTCACTTAATTTGTTAATATTCAAAAATGAAGTGAAGCCTGACTATATAATTTTAATATCTGAAAAATGTCATTTGGACATTAACTTACTACAATACAGATGTGAACAAGAAGGAGGGGCTGTTTAAGAACTTGTGAATATACAGACAAGAGTATGATTAACAAAAGATTTTAAAAAGGACAGGACATTTTGTAAATATTGATAAATACTGTGCAATGCTTTAATTTATAGTGGCAGATACAAAAGTCAAGAATTCATTAACTGATATATATGTATACATATATAAAAGTTACTACATGAATTTTCTAGCTGTTTAAATTAACAAAATGTAACAGTAGTGGTTTTTAATTTTTAAATGAGGTATCATTACACTGTAAACCAAAAACAGAGCATAAATAAATAAAGGCAATGTGCAATTCAGTGATAAATAGTTATAAATTTCAACTTGATCGAACAGATAACAAAAATTCTCCATTTATTTATGGACTTTGTCATTTAAAAATCTGGCTTGCTTGGGTACTTTTTATTTGAAATTGACAGAGCTATCAGTACACAAGCACATCATTAAACATGCAGACCAAGCCAACACAATTTTTCCATGAGTCATTGCTACCAAATAAAAACTTTGTTTACATTTTACTTAAAACAGTTAAATCTGATTTCTTATACATGATTCTTTGTGCTTAGTAGTAGCCTACATTAAACATCTGAACTTTCTAGTCCAAGCAGTGTGAGAAGCAGTTTTATTTGCATATGGATTAAAAACAGAGCAAAATAAAACAAAAGCAGTATGCAGTAAATCTCTTAGGTTTTCAAGATTTTTAAAAAGCAGCCTATTAAAATGGAAAAGCAGTCACTTGCATTTCAGAGACTATCAATGAAGTAGCTCCTTTTCCTCAGAGATGGGTGAGTGGGTTGGGTTTCAAATCCCAGGAGAAGAAACTGGTTACTTCCTACACCCTGAAAGAATTCTGCTGGTTGGGTGTAAGAAGCAAAACAACAAGAAAAAAAGCCTAATTTGGAAAAAGTTCTGGGAAAGTATTATTTGCATATGAGCCATATGCTGGTACTAAATGCTGGTTTCATTATTATTGCAGAGAGAACTTCAGAGTTTTCTGAAGGAAAGCTATACAGAGAAATATTGGTTTGGAAATATTTATAATATGCTAATAAAACTGCTTCATATGCTGTAAATTAAAAAGTACTCCATTTACTGTCTGACTTAAATGCAGTTTCTTTTTACATGCTACTGTATTAGAAAACATTTTAAAAGGGTATTTTGGAATTTACTATATTAAGAATCCAGTGAAAGACAAACATTTTGACCAAAATGCTGAATTCTATTTTTACAACAAGCTGGATCGTTTTGACACAAATGTTATTATTGTATTCACTTTTGTCAAATGCCTTATCTTTTTAAAAACTGGTATTTTAGTATAATTGGTGATCAAAAATGTGTATATACCTATACATCAATCAAAATATATATATATAAAAGCAGTTCTTTTGTGCTTGTAGTTGACTTAATTCATCAGTAACTAGTTAGACCTGATTTCTTTCCTAATATTTTGATTTTTAAGGAGAAATTTTTATATAAATACCACGGAGTACCACACAAATAATTGACTACCAGTATGCATGCAGACTAACAGTAATACTTAAACGAATATAACCTTGAATCCAATTAGTCTGAAAATATTCTTGTACAGTCATCTTTATTAATTTGTAAAAGCTGTATACACATCTAAAACCCTGAATTTCCTTTGTAAAAATATATCTTTAGCAATAAATGGCACTATCAAAATCCCATTGTTCTCAAGCTATTATGTAGTTATTTACATACTCTTCAGCAGCAATTGAAAAGAATCTTATGGGACTAAAGCCAGTATATCAAAAACCCTGTAAAAGGCATTTGTAATTATACTGTTGTTCACCTCTATATGAAAATATGGCTACATGCCTTATGTTGAAGATAGTGGAGCTGTTTGCTTTGCTACACAGTGCTCAGTAGCACGCAATCTGCCATTGGGTTCAACTATGTCATAGATGCACCCCTCACCAGACTTCACTGTGACCAACTACTCATGGAAAATGATAAAGTGCTAGTAAGAAAAAAAAAAAGAGGGACTTGACCCACAGTTGCCTCTGCCATGTGGTCATCACTCAAGAAACTTTTGAGTTTTTTAGAAAAGCATGCCTTTGCTGAACATACTTCCTATTTTATTTTAAAAACTCAGTATTTGAAAGTTGGTGAGCTTTTGTTAAAGTGTTTTGAGACAGAAACAAGAAAAGATTAAAGGCACAAGAAGAGGGAAGTGAATGCTACATATAAAATACTGGATTTCAAGTCTTCTACATTACTCAAGTCCAAAACCTTCTGAATTTGAAATTCCAATGATTAATTTCTGTTTCAGATCTTTTTTGCTTTTGTATGGCGGTAGGCAAAGTTGATTGAAGCAGGTATGAGCCACAGGTAACCTAGGGAAAAGTCATTTTTAAAAAGATACTAAGTTTTATAATACAAACTGCTGTCAGGCCACTTTAAAAAAATACCCGATGTAATCAAATCTACTTTGCTATATATATCAAGATGATTTACTCATTCCTTCATTGAACAAACATTTACTGAGTATCTAATATATATCAGGCACCACTGCAAATGCTAGGATTATGTTTACAGACAAGACAGTCAATATCCTGCTGCCACCAAACTTTCTTACTAAAGGAGCTTTGTTTAAAAATCAGAGGTAACTGAATTAAAAAAAAAATGTATTTATTTATTTGAAAGGCAGGAGAAAGAGACACAGAGAGATCCTCCATCTGCCGGTTCACTCCCCAGATGATGGTGACAGCCACAGCTGGGTCAGGCTGAAGCTGGTCTCTCATGCGGGTGGCAGGGACCCAAGCACTTGAGCTATATCTCCTGCTGTCCCCCCAGGTGCATTAGCAGGGAGCTGCATCAGAAGCAGAATGGCCAGGACTCAAACAGGCTCTCCCATATGGAATTGCTGAAACTGGCCAGAACAGAATGTAACTACTGCTTTCCCCAACTTACTCACTTTGGACCTTGTTTGAGTTGCCTGATGTTTCCAGATCTCACTTTCCTCATCAACATGATAAGGTAAACTATCCGATTAGGTTGTCTAAAAGATAAAAGAGTTATCTGCACAAAACATTCTACAGAATAGTAGGTCACACAGTGATGCTGTTTCCCAGGGGTGAATATCAGAGCATTTTGGGCAACTAGATGCTCACACTTACAACGGTGCTGCCTCCAACACACATGTAGCACTTATCCCCTCAGTCTTTTTGATCAGCTCCCTCAACTGTCCACCTGATGGTATGTTTTTATCTCAAGATTTCTGCAGATCTTAGGCAATTTCCTTCTGTTTTTATGAACGCTACAGCATCAATAGTGCTTTCAGAGACATCCGTGAATCAAGAGTGGGAAAAGCAATTAAAGGTTTTGTTTGGTGCCGAAATGTTTTTCACATGTGTAGTTTTTTCATAATATGTATTTTTAAGAACTTTTGGAAGACCTCATGCACATCTGGATCTCAAATTATGTTTGTACCAAATTATATTTACCTTTTAGTTCTATTTTTTATAAACTTTTGGAAGTCCTCTCATACACCTCAGAAGAGGAGGACATTTTCAAAGAAGTTTGTATTATTAGAAATTCAACTTTGAGAGCCCTGTGTACTAAAGGCCTAAAAGTATTCAAATCAGTTAATATTTACTATAGTCAATGCTTATTTTTTGTCATTTATGCCTCAAAACAAGTGAGAATGTATTTATTTTCATTTTATTGGTGTGGAAAATAGTTATTGCAATAAACAAGTCATCTATTCAAAGCAACAGGGCTCATAAAGGTAGAGATCCAAGATTCAAATTTCAATCAGTGTGACTTCAAAACTAGTGGGCCTTTATGGAGGAATGAAAACTTATTAGCTGGAGTGTGTGCGATTGAAATGACATCGGTCTCTGATGAATGACTGCATTCATATTTAATATCTGTGACTTTCCCACTGAGTTCTGGAGTTATTCTAGATTCATGACTAAGTGATGTTAGTTCACAAAATAATCCCCAAAATTAATAGTAATTGGGAAAATATAGATGTAATGTCATCCTTGTGTTAAAATAGATTACTCACATTATACTTTTTAAAATGACAAATTTTGTTACTATACAATGTTTTGGAAAATTAATTTCTGGTGTCAAAGTAAATATGTAATCTCAAAAGGCTTCTTCTTTTCATTTTAGGTCTTTTAACTGTAAATCTTGCTTACAATTTTCTGAAATTTATAAATGTGAGGGTACTTTATAAAATTCATGGGATATTGGAATTAAAGATGTCTATTTTGGTGTAAAGCATTTCTTGAAATCCAAAAGCAGTTTTTCATAGTATGTATTTTACCTTGAACTTTTAGAAGACACCCATGTGTAATTTTTAAAATGTTTTAAGTATAATCTACATATAGAAAAAATTCAAGAAACACTGTGTATCTGTACACACGTACTACATGGAACAGGCAAAGATGTCTGAGGCATGACCTGTGCCTGGAAGAGCTAAATACTTAAGGAAGAAGGTAGAGCATGCCCAGTGGCACATCACTGCTTTAAGGTCGTCAAGGAACTCCTGAAGGAAGGATACTCCTGGCATTAGAGAGGAAGTTAACTTCAAGTTGGGTTTCTGGCAAGGGTAACATGGCACATGTGAAGAGAAAAATTTCAAAGTGTGGAGGAAGGCAAGCGTAAAATGTGTTCAAGGAGCTGCCAGGACAAACTGCTGACTGAAGCATAGGGAATGATATTAATAGGTGTTTTGGGACAGAAGACTATAGAATTTTGAGAGATTGTAGATTCTAGAATGTAAAGCGATGGAGAGCCATCAGGTTATTTCTGCCCAGGGAAATACCATCAAAGCAGTGTTAAGGAAAATTGGTTTAACAGGATGACATAATTCAAAAGGGAAGAGCTGACTAGTTAGACTTGGCATGAGGTTTGTCAAATAAATCACAAACGTGAAAAACAATGAAACCCAGGATAGTGGCACTGGGTAAACAAGAGGCAGATTCCACCTCTAAAATGGAAGAAGCATTGTAGACCTAGAAGGCAGCTGTGATGGCTCAAATAACTGGGTTTTTGCCACCCACATGGGAGGCCTGGATTGAGTTCCCACCTGGCCTGGTCTCATCCCTGTCTTTCTGGGCAAATGGGGGAGTGAGTCAACATAGGAGTTTCTGTTTCTTTCTCTTTCTCTCTGCCTTTCAAATAAATGTAGTAAATAAAGCAAAAATAATGAAAGGAAGAATTGACGTGGATAAAAGAAAAATTGGTCATACACAAAGTTATGTCTACCAGATCAGCTTTTATAATTACAAGATGTTTTGGAAAAGGAATAAGTAGAATAACATTAACTCACTAGCACAACTGGAAAATAACTTAAAGCCATAATTACCATTATTTCAAATGCAAAAAGCATGAATTAAAAAATAGTAGTAATTAGTGGTACTTGTTTGTAATGGCTAAACAAACAAGCAAAACAACAAAATGCACAAACAACCCCAAATTAATATTTCCCATAGAAAATAAAGAACACATTTAAGTAAAAGTGAAATTTAGACAACATCATAACACTGTAAAATATACCAAGTTCTAAAAGAGATTACAAAGCAATTATTTCACCTAGAGAAGTTACAAAAAGTGAGGGAAATGAGTTGTGAACTATTAGTACTGGTCTCAAAAATTAACTGAACTTTCATGGAAATATCTCCCATTTCAAGGCCATGGTTAATTTAAATATTTTTTCCTATTAAAATTACTTCAGATGTAATGAATTCTTTGATTCCAGGTGCTTTATTCTTAGCAGTAACTTATACATTAAAAATAAAATTACTTTCCAGAAATTTACCAGTTAGTAGAAGTTTCATTCTTTGAAATTTTAAAGTTCAAATCGGCCATCCCTCCTACAGGTACTCTGTCACTTCCTGTAGTAAAATGAAGCAATTTCTTCTGAAGATCAAGAGGAAATCCAAGCACAACATCCCAAAAGTATCTAGAGGACACCAAGGGAGGCATATGTGAAACACCTTGACTAAAAGCATGCAGATCTTAACAAAGTAACCCAAAGCCTAAATAAAACGTTTCAGTTAAACATATGTAATACCTTTAATGTGAAATTAAGGAATGAAGATCTTTCATATTTGAATTAGACTTCTTACATTATGAAATAAAACTTTTATAAAATTATATTAGTATAACAGTAGATAGGATAGAAGTTATTTTTCTTCTATGTAATTTACAAATCTTTTTTAGCATAGTGTTATTAGGAAAAATGACCTTATGACTGTTTTTGAAGGACTATATTATTGTAATAAAACACGGGAAATCAGTGTGGGGAGGGAAGGAGGGAAATCTCAGCTTTGGAACTGTATCCTAAAATAAATAAATCAATCCCCCTAAAATGACAGTGCTATTAAAATGTTATCCATGCCTAGAATTTTAGGATCAAAGTCACTTTTTAAAGACTTACTTGAAATGCAGACTTATATATTTATTTTATAAAGAGAGAGAGAGAGAAAGGGAAAGAAGTAACTATATAGGGAAATCTTCCATTGACTGGTTCATTCCCCTCAGGCCTGGCCCAGGCTACGACCAAGATCCAGGAGCTGCTTCCAGGTTCCACAGTGGATGCAGGGGTCCACATACTTGGACCACCTTCTGCTGGTTTCCCAGACTTATTGGTAGGAATCAGGATCAGAAGTAGAACAGCCAGGACTTGAACTGGCACCCATATGGGATTCTGGTGTCACAGATTGTCACAGATGATGGCTTCACTGCTATGCCACAACAGTTGGGCCCATAAAGTCACATTTTTTTTTTTTAACAAACCCTATACACTTTTTTGTAGAAATTATGTAATTTCTTCTAAGGGGTTTGTTATGTGAGTTCATATTTGATATTTCTAACTTACTATGTAGAGACAGTGTGGAACCCTAGAATATTTCAGTCAACATAATTCAACGACTGAAAATTACACCAATAAATGAACCACATTCTGTTTTGTTCCCTTGTTCACAATCCTACCACCAGGTGTCTTAAGAACCCACCTGATAGTTAGGTCTGTTTTCGCATAGCCATCATACTGAGTACTTCTCTGCAGGGCGTGCATATCCAGTTCAGGACTGCCACAAACGAGAATTTCAACTTCTTCTGGACGAAGCAGCTGCCAATAATTATTTACCAAGAATAATTAAAATGAAACAGTAATTAGCATTTGCAGAAAATTAGGCAGATTTAGCATGAATCTGAGTTGCTCTCCCCCAGGGCCAGTGTCAAGTCTCTGCCAACCTCCCTGCTGCCTTCAACACACCGAGTTTCAGGTACTTGTTCATAATCTGCATTGTGTCACTTATTTTTTCACTTTGGGTGGGCTGTTTCTTCTACCCAGAGAAATTAAAGATCAGAACAGCAGAGACCATGCCATGCATTTAATTCTTCTTTTCTCTCCTCCACCTCTGCAGTGACCCATCAATGAAAAGTTTAATGTTTTAAACTTACCATTAGAGCATTTGAAGCACAAACACTATGAAACCCATAATAAAAAGCAGCAAACTGCTTATAGATGCATTTGTTGAGAAGGAAGTCAGTATAAAGCTGTACATACTCTGGAAGACAATTTTATGTGTTAAATAAGAGCATGTAAATACAGAATATTAATTTCAAAAAGTTTAAAAGTGGTCTCTAGCTTACCTTTCCTATTTTGATTGGTAACTGTAATTTTATCACCATTTGGCTTTAAATTATAGGACTTAATTATTCCAAACTCTTCTTGAAAAACCTGATGGGAGATATGATCACAGAAAATTTACTGGTATGTTTGATACAGCTAAAAGGAGTCCATGAACATCTTTGTAAAATTTATTTATTTATTTTATGATACAGTTCCACAGGTTTTGGGATTTCCCTTATCCCTTCCCCAAAAATCCTCCCTCCCCACTGATTTCCCCTATAATAATATAGTAATATAGTTCTTCATAAATAGTCATAAATCCATCATTGCCGGCATGGACAGTGACAGAGAGTCTAGCATCCTATTGTCAACATATAGTTAACAGTTTCATTGGGAATCCATCTTTGATCTGGATGTACAGATGTATATTGCATTGTATCCTCACATCTGGATATGATCATCTCCATTATACAGTTACTATATATCCCCTTAAATGAAAAGCCACAATACAAAATCAACAACAGGGAGAAAAACAGAAATTTACAGAACAATGAAGTTAAATACCATGCTACTGAATGACTAATATGTAATTGAAACAATGAAGAAGAATATCAGGAATCTTCTTGGAGGCATGGTATGACTTATGAGTCAGTGAAAAATTTAATGGGGGAAAAACTGCTTTGAAGAAATAAAAATATAAACAGCAACATCAAAATCCGTGATACAGTTTTTTGTTGATCTTTGTTGGTGTGCTATGTCCTCTGTAGGCAACAGATAGATGGGTTTTGTATTTTAATCCAGTTACTGACTTATGCTGTTGGATTGATGAGTTTAAGCCATTTATATTCAGGGTTAATATGAATAGGTGATATTTTGGTCCTGTCATTTTAGGGTTGTTCATTGTTTGATTTGGTCTTCTGTTGTTATTTTACTAGGATGCTCTTCACCTTTACCTTTGGTTTTGGTGAGTGCTGTTACTTTCTTTTTTATGATTATATTTATATTTAGCAGTTTATAGTATTCAAATGAGATTTTACAAAACTTTGTGCATTTTAGGATAATCAAAACTGATTTATAATTCTAACAAGCCATATATTAATAATTGAGTAGAACAATCTTAGGCGGGTGCACAGAGAAAGCTCCAGTATCTTAGCTAGTGAGGAATAACTGAACTCTGCGTCCTCCCTAGTGAGTTCTAGGAAAGGCCAAGTCAGGAGCCTGACCAGTAAGGTACAGGCTGAGCAATTACGGGCCAGCTGACTTTTTCCTGTCTGTTCTCATCTTTATATATTAGTCTCTCTCTGTCTACCTGAAATCATTTAAAAAGAACAGGTTTTCCTCTCTCCCTTCTGAAAAACACCAGTTATAGAAAGGTTAAGTTTATATAATATTTTTACTAAGAATGAAGTGTCATGAAATCATTATGGTGTGAAAAAGTCAGGCCTTCACCCTATCTGTTAAGCACAGTTAAATACTTCTACAGTCATCTAAGTAATACTCAGCTTGTTAGAGTTACGTGGATCACCATGATGAATTTCATCTCCCAGTTATTATAGTTACTATAAGGGAAGCGGAAATGAAGGAGCTTTGGTCTGACCCATCCATTCTGACTTCTAACCTCTTGTGTTGAGGCTTCATGAAAGGCTTATTTTAGGAAGGTGAAAAGCTCTAAGAAAGTGACAGAGCCAAGGCAACATGTAGCTGCCCAGCAGTTCATCCAACGTCCTCTTAGCCTCGGTGAATCTCTTTAAGCACTTTGTCATCCACATGTGTCTGTGTCACTGTCTGTACTTTATCAGACTAACAGCCTTTAAGACAGAGGATTTTATATGTTCATAACCCTTGTCATCTTTTCTAGCAAAGAGTACTTAAAAGCAAATGGCATTGTTCATGAGTGAAAGATACAGTTGGCAGACAGCTATCTGCCCTCTCTAGTACCTGGAATGTTGAATAGAAATCTTCTTCAACATTGCCTTCATATGATAAGAGTTCATTTAATCCATGGGCCAGTTCCTGGAAGAAGAAATGTATTACCTGTCTTTCAAAATCAAATAGCATTACCAAAAATAGTTAAGTAAATGTGTTCTGCTTCACTTATATATGCAACAATGACTAGATAAGCCTCTTGAGGTTTCAAAACAAAAATATTAGAGAGGTGCATTCCAGGGCACAAAATGTTTGTTAATATCTTCTATCATCTAAAGGTTGGGGAAAAAAATACCTTATAGATTATGCAAGAGGAAGCTTTCTGGTTAAACGCAGAGTTGTAACTCTGGGATCTATTCTTAAACAAGCTAAATTCATCTCCAGTGTAGTTTCCAGCATAATCCACTGCTGTCAACTGCATTGCTATTTAAGAATATAATCTTTCTACTTCTATTAGCAAATCTGGTGATGCGTTAGGATTCAACTTTTGCTTATTTTTTATTTACTTATTTAAAGACAGTGAGAAGGGGACAGATAGGAAGAGAGAGATCTTTTTCACTGGCTCATTCCCCTAATAGCCACAATGGCTGCAACTTGGGCCAGGGTGAAGCCAGGAGCCAAGAACTCTATCAGGGTATCTCTCACATGGATGGCAGGAACCCAGTTCTTTGGCCATTTTCAGGTGCAGGAGAAGGGATCCTAGACCATAAGTGGACCAGACAGGACTCAAACTGGATCTGTTATGAGATGTTGGCATTGCAGACAGCGGCTTAAGCCACTGTACCATAGTGCTGCCTTCTTAGGATTCACCTTTTAAATAATAATATTTGTGGTTTGAGTGTGTTAAATAGTTTCTACATTTCATTTATTGCACCTTCCACTTCCTAAGAATATCTGAGACAGATCCTCCATCTGCTAGTTCACTCCCCAAATGATCACAATGTTGGGGATCGGACTTGGCCAAAGCCAAGAGCCAAGAACTGCCTCCAGGTCTCCCACATGGGTGCAGGGACCCAAGGACTTGGACCATTCTCTGCCACTTTCCCAGGTTTATTAGAGAGGATCTGGATTTGAAGCAGAGCAGCTAGGATATAAGTGACATTTTTTTTTTGGATGCTATATCAGGCACAAATAGTGGCTTAACCCATTAAACCACAATGCTATTTCCCCCCAACCCCAAATTACTTTCTTATGTTACAACTTAAAGCATCCAGAAAAAAGGTTTTAAAAATAAAAAATTTCATCTGGTATTCGCAAAAATGTTTGGTTTATTTCCAATTATGAAAAATGTAAATAATAGCATAATTATATTGCTCTTGTATACTTCATAGAATAATGTTCTGTTCAATTAAAACAAGACATGTTCATGCAAATCTGACTTTCTGACTTCAGGGTTTGCAGTGCCACATTGTAAGAGCTCAGGAGTGCTACAAAGGAGGTGTGTCTCCATTAGGAAGAAGACAGAAAGGCAGATGAGCTACAGAGCCAGAGGGAAACTGTTTAAAAAGAAAAACAGCATTATGAGAGAGACTGCAGACAAAAGGGAGATGTTTTAGCATTAAGTGACAAAAATGTTCACTTCATACTTACAGGCATAATTTGATATAAGTCATCAATGGTAACACTGCAGATGCCGACTGGTGTATTTTGATCAGTGGGGATGATGGGAGGGCTCAGTAATTTCTTGTAACAGCAGGGAGGAAAACGAATATCCAAGGTGATGCTGTTATAAACAGCTAGTCCCATAAGCTATGCATACTGGCCGTTAAGCATTAACATAAAATCCATGACAACAAATGAGTTTTGAATTATGCATCAGTCTATTTCTTGCAAGCTGTGTTTAGATTTAACACTGACTTTCTAATTAGTCTCACATACTTCCTTTCCTCTCTCCTGTTTTTTTTCTACATAATATAATTCCTTGATTGCCAAGTCATATTAAAAGGGAAAGGTTCCATTGATAGTATTTATTGAATTCCCTAGAAAAGTTCATCTAAGATCACGTTAGATAGTAATTTCAGACAGGTTTTTAAAGCATTTAGCACATAAGAAAACATTTTCTAAATTTAAGGAAAGATGTTGGTGACTGTAAAAGCGGTAGGAACATCATTATATTATGACTCTTGGTGTCATCTTCAAAATATTCACAGTTAATACTGTAGGCTTTACTACAACACTTTACAAGACCTTACCACATTGAACAATAAATGGTAACAGGAACATATAGCACAGTGGGAAGTATTAGAGACACAAGTCTTTGGTCTTAAAAACTGAAGAAATGCAAGGAATGACATCTGTCTTTTCAATGACTGTGTCCTATTTATCAACTTCCAGTCTTCATCAGTTTCTATAAAGGCAGACTATCACCCAAAATCCAAGCTGAACCACAAGAATGTAAAGCATGACAAACATATGCATTATGAAATTTAAACAAATCAAAGTATGAGAAGCATTGATGACTGGGGCCTTCGGTGAAGCTGGAATGGTCAAAACAATGATGGCTGCAGGTCACAGGGTGAAGATGGCTGCCTGAGGATTAAGCCTTCTTCTGTGGAATCCAGCACTCTGCACCATTAGACAGGGTAACAGTCATAGACTTCCAAGGCGAGTTCACTATTCCAACACATGGCTTTTCCCCCTTGAGATCCTTTCTTTCATCTGCCCTCTTGACTGCCATAAACATTCCTTCGGAAATTATTCCAATGAATGCAAGCAAGACTAAAGTTCAAAATCCTCCTTAAGATGGATGGTATCTTTCATAACCCTGCCATGCTCACTGCTCCTGTTTCAACACAATTCAGCTTGTTCCACCTTTAAATATTTCCTTTTTTTTTTTTTTTTTGAGAATACATTGCATCTTTTTTCTTCTGCAAAGCTCCTTAGTACTTAATGCCACACAGTCATCTGAGAATGGTGACATGGATGCTCAACTGTCCATAGAGAGCAAGCTGCTTATAGATCCCCTCCCCTTCCTTTAACCCTTCACCTTCCCAGTACTGGCTCATTATTTGCTCTATCCTCCTTTCTAATATATTTCTTAGAACTTTTTAAAGGATAATGTACAAGGAGTCTTGTCTGCTCTCCTACCAATCCTGGAATGCTCTCCACAATATAATTAATAGGGATCAGAAGATGCCATATAGAGTATAACACTATAGTATATATTGTACCACTATAGTATAATGCCATATGCTTTAAATATTTCCATACTGTTCAATTTTCAAAATTTATGAATGCCTTCTTCATGTGCCAGGATTTACAGAGCATAGTAAGAAGCCAGATTTACTGTCCATAATTTCAATTTTGTAAACTTAGTGAAGTAATAAACACACAAAGAACAGAAGAATAGTGCATTACAATTTTTTTTTAAATTGAATTTCTGTTGGTTTAAATTATATGTGAAATAGAAGAGAACTATTTTTACTTTGATATGTTTTTAAAACCTGTTGACCTTTTATAGCTGACATGACACATAATAAATATTACTGAAAATGAATTGGTAGTCTTCGACAAGAATATGTAATTTTCAAAAAATTTTTTTCTAAGATGCTGGCAAAATCTATTAAAATCTTTAGTCTACTAGCACCTCCTAGTGGAAAGTTTAAAGGATACAATTCCAACCAATCGGAATTCAGAATAGTTATCACACTTAAAGCTGCTGAACCAATGGCAGTGTGAATCCTTATGATACGTAAACATGCCTACGAAAGACAAAATATACTTTTAGTACTAACACTGTTGATTAAAAAGACTGGAAAGTGCACAGCATTTTTATTTCTGCAAATAATTATTGCAAACCATCTTTCATACTAAAAATCTCACATTAGTTAAAGCATCATTATTTGAAAATCTCAACAACTATAAATTGATATATTGAGTATACATAGTGCATTTTATTGTTCATTGGTATCTTGAACCAAAGGTAGAAATGAGGTAACTAAAAGATAAATTAATGAGATAGCTTCATAATAACTACAGTTTTATAAGTTAGGAGCAATATTTACTTTAAAGATTACCTGGATATTTAAATTTATCCATATAATAGCATCTGTATATATCATCCATATTTCCCATGATCAGAAACATGATATAAAAAGTTAACTATATATCGAAAGAGAAGAAAGACTAAAAACTCTCCTTCGAAAAAAAATTTTGCAAACATTTTAGCAACTATTAATGACTTAATAGTGATATTTCTACAGTAAAATGTAAATTTCAGAGGTTTAATTTTTTAAAAATCAATTTTGAATTCCTACTTACTAAACAAACATTATTTAATGAAATAAGCTTCAAATATTAATGTAGAACAAGTTATACTTTTCTGTTTTAATTTCCAGTGGTTTTCATTTTGATGACAAAATAAATGTTGATGTATTTGGGCTGTTTAGGGAAGATACAACGTCTGCTCCTAGTACTTTCAGTCTTCATGTACTTTGTGTAGGACTACCAGCAGGATAGTTAACATTTCAATCCTATATTTCAAAAAGCTCATAAGATGTACATAATATATCATCTTTACATAATCATTCAACATTGATGATTGACAAAAAATGTCTGTAAAATCATACAGCAAAAAATAATACTGGCTACCTTTCTCCAACAGTTATAAAGAATTGGTATTTATAATAAATGGACTGGATGCTCACCATAATCTGGATGAAAAATCTGGCGAATGAGGAGCAGGAACCATTCTTTAGTCAAGCCGCCCATATCCAATCCAGCTTCCCCCACAAAGGTAACCTTCAACTTCTTTTTCAAGTCTGCTCTTTTCCGCGTTAACTATTTGATGAAAATATATAGCAGAGGAGAACAAAGGACAATGAAAGGGGATTAACTTTTTAAATTCTGGGAACTAGCACAGGTACTATTCATTTACAGTGTCCTCAAATTCCACCCATTTTCATCCCTCCCATAAATGTGCTAGATAATGTGTGAGCTAGGCATCATTCTAATATCGAGTAGACAAGTGAGGTACCTTGCTGGGGGTTACTGTCCTGGTATCATACTACTTTCAAAATTTTAATCTAGTAGATTATTTAAATATAAGACCATTCAACATTACACTTCAAAAAAAAATACGGCTAAATCAGCCCTTAGCTTTTAATAAGCAAGAAGATCTGGTAAAACATATATATTCAGGAACCTCTAATCATATCTGTACAGGCAGCAACATATATTTGAGTCTGCACAGGTGCATTAGGGCTTGTAGGTCAGACCTCTGTTTTACAGATGAATGGCCTGAGGCCTGGTGAAGTTAAAATGAATCGTTATACCACTAGGCAGAAACAAAGATGAGTGAGTCCAGATCCATTAGCTCATTTAGGTATTCTATGTCAAATCCTTCTTTGGAAAGTTACTAAAAAACATTCATAAGCATATAGAAATTATTATAAGGCTTAATTATAAATACATAGCCAGTGTCAACTATGGTATAAAATTTAAGGAATCATACTTACTGGAATTCAGAAATCACAAATCATTTACTAAACTTTTAGTAGTAAATCACATTGTACAATTCATGTCATGTTTTAATAAATATCATTTTGTAATAAATTATACCTCATCCAGTGAATCGCTAACCAGATGTGTCCGTCTTACTTTCATATTTAGAAATAACATGTTCATATCAGGTCTCTGTCTCCGAGATACTTTATCCACCAGACTTTGCTAATAAGAGAGAAAACATTTCCACCTTTAGACTATAAAACATCTGAATGCTTTAGTAAAAATCATTTTTTCCATGTCATCTTTCATGTAAACAATTTCATAAAATCACACACATCTGATTTGTAAAAATGCCATATTATTTTCATATTTGGAACAATACTAGCCAGAGGACATTCAAAATGAAGGACCAAAGTAATTTTGTCTTTATAGTTTCAATGTCTCATCATTTAAATATCAAGGTTTTCTTTTTAATAAATAAATACATACAGAGCACTTGTAAAAAGAGGAATATCTATTTAATGGCAGACCTGACCTTAAGCTTTTTAAGATGCAATTAGTCTGCTATTAGGAATAATTTATCAAAACCTCAACAATGTTCATACTCTTTGTATCAATAATGCCACTTCTGGGAATTCTGTGGACAGAAGTGGGAGTTGAGATGTTCATCCTTAAAGAAAAACTTTGGGAATACGCTAAATATATGTATCACTAGTAGACTTTAACATAGCTACCAAAATTTGATGGTCACAAAAACAATGTGTATAGTTATATAGAAGGTTGAGCTGAAGAAAGTGGAGAAAAAACTGCCTGTAATATTGTTTCAGCTTGGTTGCATTTTAAAGATAACATACTAAAAATATCAAGGAAAAAATTTAGCAAAATGTTAATAAGAGATAAGCTTGGGTAATGGAGATATGCATGCTTTAAAATGTGTTTTTCCTGAGTTGGAAATAAATGCACTGGGGACATAAAATATTAATAATGAATATATAAAAATGTCACTTCCATAAAGTCTATGTGCTTATATATTTATACACCTAAAAATAAGAGTGGCAGCAACCACTTTTCTTGGAAACATTTATCATTTTTTATGTAAATAATTTGACAAAAGCTATACATATTTGTGGAGTATTGTGTGATGTTTCATGACATGTGTATACATTGTGTAATGTCCAACAACCAAAGTAAATTTATTTATTCTTTCAAGCATTTAACATTTCTTTATAGTGAAAAATAGAGTGAAGATAGAGATGATTAATTTACTTGTGTATTTCAAAAAACCCACCTTTTGTACGTATGAAAGGTAGGCATTTTAGACATTTTAAATACATGCCATTTACTTTAACAGCTATTTTAATATCTCAAATCTATATACCTTAGATTTAGCTTAATATAACAAAACACTGCAATTCAGAGTTTTCTCCATTATTCTAATATCCAATGGTGATGTGTTTACTTAACAGTTTGTGGCTTCTCTGGTTCCTCCTTTATGAAAGAAATCCAGAATCTTGGCCAATTATTCGGCATCATGGACCTTTTATCACACCCCTTCTGATCTTCTGTTCCCAGTCTAGCTCCTGGGAAGCTATTCACATTAGAAACATCCAGTACTAATAGCAGACTGGTTTAGTGGCTACTCCTTCCATTGGGAATTCATATTTACTAAAAATGCTCCAAATTAAAGAAATAATCCAACAAGAGTGGAATTCTAGTCTGAGTGAGTAAGCTATTCTAAAGCAGGAGAACCTTGTTTTGCAACTTCAGATTATACCACATAGGCATTTGTTTATACTAGCTGCTTCTAAGACTGTCAGAACAGCCATCAGTTTATTAATTCCAAGGGGCATTGTAGCTGACAAGTTAATGCCTGGGAAACAATCATAGGAACTGACAATGCCAGCTGACTCTTCAACCACTACCTGTGTGCTTGCATGCTCCATGGAGAACTTAGCCAGTTGAGAGTCTACACCTGCTTCTGTCCTTTCAAGAAAAAAATGTACATACATACACACATGAATATCACTTAAGTGATAGGAAACTGCTCAGAGGAATTTTAGACAAACTTCTTACATGCTAGAATTTTTCTTACAAATATAAAATATCATTACCCTAGGGTGGAAAACACTCAAGAAACACACTACATTGTACAAAAGCAACAGACAGAAAAATACATGAGCAATGCAGACCAGTCTGGGAGTCAATACATACACAAGATCAAGTAACAATTCTAGTGCTAAATATATCTGTTTAAGCTCATTCTTCAAGGGTTGGGGAAAGGGAGTATGCGTGTGAAATTCCTTAGCTAGACAAAGACAGTTTCTTCTAAAATTACTGTGTTTAATATAGCTAGCTTTAGGATGGCACCAGTCACTCAGATCTTTTTTTTTCTCTGTAATAAAAACAACATTCACCTGCCTAGTAAATTACTGAAGAATAAGCAATTCTTAGTTTTTTTTTTCACAATATTTTGAATGTCTGATTCTTGTTATATTCTTAGACAAGACATGGAAGACATGTCATCACTCTTCTGTTTCTCCTTATTTTAAGGCAATTGGAGCTGAGTTTTCCTCTAAGTTTTAAAGGTGTGAGTAATCATGTCACACAAGCAGATGCTTGTAATGCATGTGCGTTTACATAGAGTCTAGAGCTCATTTGCTCCCTCCTCGGTGAAGTCCATGGCTCCACTGCACTGCGCTGAAACACCCATCTAGGCAGTGTGTTAGGACAGGCCCCGGGCTGGGCTGCACCCTGCTCTGTAAGATGGCAAAGTGATCTGTTCTCAAAGATGCCTGGGATTAGCCTGACTGCTCTGGGCTACGGTGGGAACTCTGCGTGTTGGTTTTAAGAACCAATAAGCATCATCTACATTCTCTGAGCATTAATTTTCAGTTCTCTGGGATTTATTCTTTTTATTATATTTTCTAATATTTGGCTGTTTCCATCTGGTTTTTCCTACTGTGTACAGGATGTCTCAGTGTTTTAAGTGCTTGGCCTTAAGAACTTAAGCACAATTGCTTGAGCACACTCCTCGTTGATCTCTGCTACTACCTACCACTGGATCTCTGCAGATTGAGGTCCAAAGAGCTCCTAGAAGGTTGGACCTAGAAGCAGCATTTAATCTTCCTGCTATATTTAGAGTAAAATGGAGGCTGATTAGCAGAGGGGTGTCTTGTCTTCCACAGTGTGAATAGGTTAAAAGCATTTTGGGGGGAGTGTGATAATATGGGGTTCTGATTATGTTAGAACAAGTCACAATACATAAACTTATTTATTAAATTATTTAACTATATTGACTATAGTCAGCATAAATATGTTTTTATAACTGGCTTACCCTTGCGATGCTTATCATCTGTTGTTCTGAGTCTCTCTGAATAATGATTTTTTTTGCAGCTATAGAAATAACAAATGGGTACTGACAGAAGGAAAACCTGCTCAACAAGTGAAAACAGAAAAAGCAGAATGGTGTATTTTTAGTAAAATAATATTAAGGGAATCTAAGGTACCCCTTCTAGCAATATAAACAATACTCTTGTAAAATCATTTACAAAATGATTTTCTGTGCATCACTTAATCCCCACAGCCCCATGAAGAATGTATCATTGCTAGATGTGCAGTATCTTTATTCTCCAAAGAAGGCTACATCTACTGCACTGGAGTAAATGCTAGTCACTTACACTGTTTATGCAAATCATTTCAATTCACATAGTCACCTTTATATTACCACTTGTGAAAAACACTGGCAACATGAAACCAGGAGGCAAAAGGATTTATGAAGGAGAATTGACTCAGAAAAAAAAATCATATGCTTAGATTAACCTAAGACTCTAGTGTTAAGGTGTGTGTGCCTCAAAAATGAAGAAATCTAGCAATAAATATATAATCAGTGATAACTGTAAAAACGGGATGCTTGTTGTGGATATAGTATTTAATGTACAGTTATATAAAATAGTATATATATTTTTTAAATTAAGATCAAAGGTTATGAAATTAACTTCATTCCTGAGTCTGAGCCCATTCTACACTATACACAAAAGCTACAAACCACACAAAAATATGTTTGGAAACAGTGAAACTTTAGGAGTTGGGCTTCCATCACAAGTGACTGTGCTTCGGCTGTAAGTGGACTCCATCTGAGCACGGTCAAGTTGCCTTTCTGTGACCACTAAAGGTAACTGAAGGTAATATGAAGAAAAAGATAGCCCTCATGTGAATGGAAAATGGGCACAAATACTGTAGGAGCTGTTCAGTACCAGTATACAGAATTTTGAATCAAACTAAGTAAACTTTTGGAAACAAACATACAATGAACTTAGTTGTATATATATTGGTTTTATTATGTACTTAAAAAATTCTCTTTAGTCTATCTCTTACTATGGTAATTTAAAAAGTGACAGTGTGTACATGACACACTTAGGTAAACTGATGAGGCAGCTCATGGCTGGAAGTGACTTATCCTGGAACTCTAGGTCCCTTGCCAGGATCAAAGCTCCCATACAGCTCATTCTTGGTAGATCAGTGCAGTGGCACAGTGTTTAGGGAAAGCTGGGTGTTAAAAGATGTCATTACTGAAGTTGCACAATAATTGAGTTGTTTTGTCTGCAACATCACAATTTTGTTAAAATGGAAGGAGAAATGATCATAGTACAATAAAGTGTGTCAAGAATATAGCCATTAGACTGCCTAGTGTCCTAGAGTGTCAATTCTTGTTCACTTACGAGCACTTAGAAATGGACTATGCCCACAAGGCTATGCAATGTCTTATGCTTGTTCCATACCAAAAATCCTTGGGAAATTTAAGCAATTTGTGGATAATTCTGAGGTTTTATGTTGTTTACATCTACAATGTATCTCTTATGTTGTTTATTCTACAACAAATGTAGCAGGCCATATCTCATGGTCTGGGAATAATTTATGTTTGTTTTGTTAGCTTAATCCTAATTACAAGTGTGGATATGAAATATATTTTAAAAATTGGCTGGATATCTTCAAAATCTATCATAATAATAATCTATAGGAAAACCCTTTCACTATAACATTTACTCTTTCACACTATATTTAATGGACAACAATTTTTTTTTCTAAAGAATAAAGGAGAAATAGAGTAAATGTGTGTGTGTACATATGTACATATGTGGTAGATCACATACCAGCAAACTATGGCTTCTGGGACAAAGTTGGCCTGTCCTCCATTTTTGAAAAGAAAGCTATTTGTGATACAGACATACCCATTCATCTGCATATTGACTAGGGCTGCCTTTGTGCTAAAATGTTAAAACAGAATCTGTAAAGCCTGCAGAGCAGAAAATATTTACCACTTAGTCCTCCTTCATAGAAAGTGCCTCCTCACTGCTGTGCTGGGTGACTGCACATACAGTAATCAGATGTAAGAAACTGCACAGTAAGAATCTCTGTCTTCTTGAAAAGATGCTATTAACCAAATCAAAACCAAAGTAGCATGTATGTAAGTTTAAAATGTAGCAGAAACAGAAAATGTTTTTAACAAATATAATGCTATTTTGAGGCTGGATATCTAAACTATTTTTAAGTTTATATCTAAAATATGTAGATACTTTGCACAAACTTAAGATCCAGTCGTTATAAAGAATAGTATTTAATTCAGGAGAATAATTAAATAAGCTTTTGCTCATACCTGTGAGAGTTTCCAAAGCTCTGCCAAGTATGATATTCTTCCATGAGATCAATGTGATCCAAAGTAGAATTATAGAAATCAGTATAAGGGATAAGGGGAGGGTGAACCAAATTGTTTGCCGTATCTGTAAAGATAAATTCTATCATAATGATCTTTTTCAACATGTGCATGACTCACCCGAAAAATAAAAACACTGTTTTAATGGCCTCTAGAGCCTTGACTTAGAATCTTCTATATAGAGCCATTGTTCATTTCAAAGAAAAAAAGAAAGATAATTTTAAGGTTGTTATTAAAATTCAGTCAATAAATTTCTGTCTTGAAAAAACTGGGGCTGTTTATCACGTTCCTGTTGGAGGGAGAAGGCAGATGGCCACCTGCTCACACACTGCCCCATCGGTGTCTTCTCTTAGAGGCCAGGCCTCATTCATTCATGTAAGCTCAGATTTTCTCAGCAACAGAACTTAGCAGATCATGCACACCCAACAGTCACAACACAATCATAATGCAGAAGCTACCCAGGAAAATGCCTAGAGCTTTCGGTTGTTCTTATTGTTTTACATTTACAAATGAACTTTGAAACCCATGATCAAAACAGAAAATGAATTACAAATTTTCTTTCAGAGAAATAATTCAAGATTTCACAAAACCTCAAGGGACTGTTGAGATCCTTGTGGAAATGTCCTCATGTTTAACAAAAGAAGAGTAAAAATGAATAACAAAAACTTACTAAGCAAAGCCAACACTTTAGATGCTGATGGAATCCACCAGGAACACTTTGTCACAGGTGGAAATTCTTCTGGCTTGGCAGGAAACAGACGCAAAGAAATAAATTGCAGCAGTCTCTCTACCAATTGTTTAAATCTCTTCTGGGACAATCTAGTAAAGATTATGGAATAATTCCAATCAAAATTCACGTTTTCTAACTTTAGCAAAATATCTATTAAGTATAAAACTACATTCTGTATACTCAAAATTTTAGATGGCTGTCAACGTCGTATTTCTTAAGTAGTGAAATATGTGAAAGGATACAAAACTCTTGAATACATATTGCTAAACAAGAAACAAGCACCAAACTCACTAGTGTATAGTTAGTAATCTTGTTTTTAAGGGTTTCAGTGCTGAGTCAATCTTCACTATTCACAATTCGACACCTGCAAAACCTGCCTACTTGATAAAATTTAATTGTATCCCCTTCCGCTCCGAATCAGTTCTTGTGCTTTTGTGGTCTATTGCAGGCATGAAAAGAAAGGTGAACAATACAGGCCACCTCACAAGCTCATTCAGCGGTCATTGACTAGGACAGCTCTGCCTTTGAGTGCCACTCTGACACTGGAAGCAAATGCTCTGTGCAGCGCAGGGTCACTTTTTCATTCTATTTGTTGATTATCTGAGTATTCTCAGTGACCCTCAGTTGAAGGTAGAAGGTGCTGCTTAGGGTTCCTAAGTTCGAAAAGGTGCTACATGCCTCATGGAGGAAATGTTAGAAAAATTTCATCCAAGCATGGGTTATAGTGCTGCCACAAATTCAATGTTAATGAATAACTTAAGTAGATAATTAAGCAGAAATGCTCAGAGAACAAGGTTATGTGTTGATTAGTTGATAAAAATGTAATTAAAGTCTCACAGGAAGCCTAATCCTGTATTAGCCCCAGAAGTGATGGTTCTGAATTTTCTAATTCAGTGTTTCTGGTGATTTGGTGATTATATACAGTGTATCAACAATCAAAAATAAGAATAGGCTATATTTTAAATTAACTTTAGAAAGATTTTATCTTTTTAGTCTTTATTAATAATGAAAAACAATCACTATTAATGTGTATAGTGTGCTTATAAATAAAAGCATTGTGTTTTAGAAATTGATATTAACAGATAACCTGTATTTTATATTGTTTTTAGGTGAGGAGAAAGTAATGTGTAAATAATGTTGAGATTATTGATATACATGTAGGAATTATAAGGACATCAATTAAAATAGTAATGTCTGAGCATATCTACTCATTATCTTGAAGATACTCAAGAATGAAAAACCAATGACCGAAATAAAAAGTGAAAGTAGTGGAGAGAAATTGCATATATAAGCAAAATGGTTACTTATACTGAAAGGAGATTTTTAATTATTCTCTATGCAGTGGTAAAATATTTTTATAACGGCTTTTGAAGTATCCTAAATTGTTAGCATCATTTGTAGGAATGTTGAACCATTCAGATATATTTATCATTACTAACATTAAACTTAAAACTGTGAAACTATGAAAGTTCTTAATATCATAGCATGATTTACTTTTTGAACCAGTGAACTAGGAAATGATGGTCAGCTTCCACTAAGGCAGCTGTCTGTCGTAGCAAGTGAGCATAGATGACATACGTAGATGTGTTATTAAACTGAGGATTCTGAAAAAGACAGTAAAGATAACTGTTAAAATTTTGTCAACATGTAAATGCAAAGACATTAAGTTTAAATGAGTTAAAGTGCTAAATTCAGGAGACTACATTTGAGTTTATGAAAAGTTTTAAAGCAACAGTCTGTTGTTGAACAGAAACTGATGCACAGGCTTTGGAATTAAGACGTCTGAGTCTGAGGGTTTTTTTTTTTTTTTCTTTTTAAGGCTTATTGACTTATTTCTTTGAAACACAGAATGACTTCATGATGCAGGAGCAGCAAGGGATACAGGGAGCTGGTGGAAGCAGGGAGAATCTTCCATGCTGTAGCTCACTCCCTAGAGGAGGCCAGGAACTCCATCTGGGTCTCCCATTTGGGTGGCAGGCAATGGGACCCTATTCGTTGCCTTCCCAGGAGTCGTTAGCAGAGTAGCTGGGATTTCGGCACGACAAGGGAATGCCAGTGTTGTAAGAAGAGGCTTAACATATTGTGCTACAGTTCTGCTCAGAAGGGCTAATTCTACACTTAATAGCCATGTGCTCTTTTTTTTTTTTTTAGTTTTTATTTTTAATTTTTAATTTTATGATACAATTCCATAGAGTCTGGGATCTTCCCTCCATCCGCACAGCTGTGTGCTTTTAAACAACTTCCTTATTTGTAAAACACAAATGAGAATATGCGCTTAATGACAACATGAGTGTTCTGAAAGAAATGTATGTAAAACACCTCACTTGGTGCTATCAAAAACCAGACAGTTAAAAAGCAGGGTTTTTATTTGATTAAAGAAAAAGAATGCTAGAAAAATGAAATGGAAGTTATTTGTGAAGCATCTGGTTTGATGAAATGGGGCTACCTCATGGCTCACAAGGAACACACTTAATTCCTGACAATTTCTAACCATTAAAAAACACTGAAGGTGTACTTCAAAGTAACACTTCCGGTTGTGTCTCTAAGAGCCACAACTTTGTCATTTTAACATCACTGAAAAGTAAGAGCACATCACATGCTTTTCAAGACTGAATGGCAAGACATTTCAAAATTAGAGAGTGCCCTACTGGGTAACAGCTCAGAATCCGGCTGTCTTGAGGGGAGCCTAACTAATACACTCCCCCGAGCTGCATATTGTCACTCTTGCAGCTTTTACCATCTCAGCATGTTTGCTTTGCTGCTTTTCTCTGGTTTTGCCTTTTCCTCCTCTGACTTCTTTTTTCTCCCTCCTACAGTCTATTCTTAACTACCTCTTTGCATTTTCCTCTATTACTTTGTTTTTGCCTTTTCTCCTACTTTCTCTAACTGCATCCTGTGTATTTTCATTTATTAGATGTGATACTGTGAGACCAGTACGAACTAAACACAGTATGTTATTTAATATATATTTTGTTACCTTTAATTGACACACTGTAATGAATGATATCAATGTAGCATACTAGCTGTGGTAATAACATATTTCTCACACATACACACACACACGAAACAAACACAAAAAACCACCAAAGTACGAAAAGTTGATTTTCATTTTTTCTGGACCCTAACATATATTTTTGTAACTGAATCTCCCTGTCTATTTTTAAAAATTATTTATTTCAAAAGCAGCACTAGAGTGAGAGGGAAAAGAGAGAGGGAAAGGCAATTTTGATCTGTTAGTTCATTCCCAAAAAGGCTGCAATGACTGGGGATTGATCACGGAAAGTCAGGAGCCCCAGCACTCCAAGTGGGTTTCCCACAAGAGTGTGAGGGGCCAAGCATTTTAGCCATCCTCCACTGCTTCCCCATGTGCTTTAGCAGGGAACAAGAATGGAACTGGAGCAGCTGAAACACGACTGGGTATTTATACAGGGTGCTGGCACTACGGGCCACAGTTTTACCCAATTGTGCCACAGTGCTGGACACTGTATCTGTATCTCTTAAGACACTTTTGCTTTAGAGCAAATAGAAACAACTACTTTGCCTTTCTATTATCACTGAAACTTCAGCAATATTGAAAAATAACATCAAGTCATTAGAAACCTAATAGATGGGGAAATAAAAATTCTGCATCCTATTATGAATGATCAGCAAGAAAGGGCATTTGAATGCAAGAGGAAGTCCTTGCATTGTTTGTTCCCAAATCTCCAGGGAAGATGGCAAGAGCTAAATTAATATTTTAATCTCCCATAAAATGTAGCTTCTGATTGTTTTTTCTGCCGTTAATTCTCTGGTTACAAATAACTACAGTTGTAAACCAATCAGTAATATTGCCCAAACATGAAACTTTCTATTTGCATTTAGACAAGCATACATTTTGATTTTAATTAGACAACTTCAAGTAAATTTGTGCTCTTACCTGTAAAAGTATAAAGTATGCTCTAAGATCATCTTTTGTTCGTGGACTGAAAAAGAAACAAGCATATTTCATTCTAGATGAGTGCTTCATGTCACAGTATACAGCCAAAAATGGCCAATAAATACTTCTATGAGAATTGAGAAACTAGACTTCAGTATGTGTTATCTGTGAGGCAGTATCAGATCCATAATACTGCTGTGAACAGAGGTGACTGGATTTGCCCAGGCTGACTCTGAAGACCCCCGAGAGACTGGGCTAGGTGGGCTATCTTCAGTGAGGTGTAATGTCACAGTGAACTCTAGAAATAGTGCAGTCTAACAAGTAATGAAGAGTTTTAGAATACTTGTACTATTTTTAATGAGAAGTAAACTTAATGATGTGTGTGTGTTAGAGAAAGCAAATATGCTTCTGTTTACAAGTCCATTTCTAAAGCAGTAGAGATGGCTGTAAATCAAATCACACTTTAAATGCATCTAGCATGTTTCATTACAAATCATTTCAGGTATCTTTGACAGGTCAGCAGTTAAACATTTTCTCCCACATTAATCTGGATTTTCACATGATCAGATTTGACAAGGAGCATTTGTGAATCTCAAGGCTGACACGCATTTGTTGCCAGCTCAAGATTTATTTGATATTCTCTCACAGATACCCAGACGTAACTTCTTAAACTAAAAATGATTTACGAATATGTACAAAAACTAGATATACTTCATGATCCATGATGACTCTGAAGTAAAAAAAGAAAACCCAAATACTGAAGCTTTTCTCCTTTCCAGTGATGGTTTCTTTCCGGTGCATTCAAGATCTATTTGCACCTGTCATCTTTGCCTCCAAATCCTTGCTTGTTCCATCTGGAATTTTATGACCCTGTAGAATCATTTATGTTCATATGAATTACTGAGCCTGGACAAAAAATATTAAGTGACATTTCTTAGGCAGTTTTGGATAACTTTTTAAAAATATTTATTTTATTTTTATTGGAAAGGCAGATTTTACAGAGAGAAGGACAGAGATAGAGATCTTCCACTCATTTCACTCCCCAAATGGCTACAACTTCCAGGAACCAGGAACTTCCTCCAGGTCTCCCACGCAAATGCAAGGCCCCAAGGTTTTGGTCCATCCTTGACTGCTTTCCCAGGCCACAAGCAGGGAACTGGATGGGAAGTGGAGCAGCCAGGACATGAATTGGCACCCATATAGGACCCTGTTGCTTGTAGGGGTAGGATTGAATAACTGAGCCATTACACCAGTCCTTTGATGATATTTTTACTACAGTATTTAGTCAATAGCTGATCCCCAGTTTGTACTTAATTTTTTCAGTCTTCTGTCACTTTACTCCCTTTTCTATGAGATCTGAAACTGATGGTTTCAAGCAAGATATAGGAAAACATGTGTAACAGAAAAAGGTCAATTTACTTAATATAGTAAGTAAGAATCTTGGTGGAAAAACAGATAAAACTGCAGCATAAAATGGCCAAAGAATGTGAATAATTTGTGAAACAATAACTATAAATAGGTAACAAATGATAAAATGTTAATCTCATTGATGCTAAGAAAAATGAAATAACAAATCCATTTTCCATTCAGACAAGTGGGCCAAAGTTTTGTTATAAGGAGATACAATTGAGATTTTAGTTAGACCCTGTCACATTCTATTTTAGGTATTTGTTGTCATAATTATTTTGGAGAACTAATCTGCCAGATTATACTCTGATATTGTAATTTTTCTACGAGAGATTTAGGTAAACACCCAGAAAAGTATTACTGTTGTGCAAAATATTTGCTATGGCTTTATACACACAATCATTTTGGGATATGCTTAGATAAATTACAGCACAATCAGGTTATTGGGAAGACATTACAATTTTGGTATAAAAGGGGAAGATGCAAACTAATTACTGCAATGATAAAGTAGAAATAAACTATTCAGTTAAAAGTCACATGGACCTATATGGTATGACTGTGCTATATTTGAAAAAAATTACTCAAAATTATAAAATTTTTTTTTCTTATATTTCTTTACTTCTGTCGGCATGTTTTTCTTTGACAACAGAAGCAATGTTATTATATACATAGGGTACATTTAACATTACATTCATGATCTTTTTGAGTTAGATGTATTTAAAAACTGGAATGAGTTTAAATATTTGATTCATAATTCAATGTCATTCCTTTGACTTTTGCAGAGAGTAATATTTAAATGCTATAAATCTGCATGCAATGTCATTGAAAGTTTTAAAAGATTATTTATTTGTTATTTATTTAACAGGAGGAATGAGACAGAGAGCAAGCAAGGGCTCCCATCCTCTTGTGTACTTCCCAGATGACACAAGAGCTGGGGCTGAGAAAGGCTGAGCCAGAGCCAGAAGTCAGTCTAGATCTGCCTGGCAGGGGAACCCAAGTTTCGCTCCCTCTGAAGCTGTGCATTAGCAGGAAGCTAGAATTGGCAACAGAGCTGGAACTCGAACTCAGGCACTTGGATATGAGCTGCAGGCATTCTGAGCAGCATCTCAACTGCTGCGCCCGTTACCTACACCACTGTGAGTTTTTAAAAGGTCACTTCTGTATGTTGCATACAGTAACAGTCCAAAACATCATCAAATCATAAAATCACATTTCTAAATAGGGGCCTAATATTTAGGTCTCTTTTTTTCTGATTTATTTTTATTTATTGAAAGGTGGGGTTAAAGACAGAGAGGGAGAGAGAAAGAAAGAGTGTGAGGGAGAGGGAGATCTTGTGTTTGCTGGTGCATTCTCCAGATGGCCTCAACAGCAGGGATTGGGCCAAGTTAAAGCCAGGAGCATCATCTGGGTCCCCTATGTGCGTACAGAGGCCCAAAGACTTGGGTTTTCTGCTGCTGCTTTCCAGGGAACACCAGCAGGGAGTTGGATTGGAAGTGGAACAGCTAGAATTCTACCAGGTGTCCATACGGGTTAAGCTGCAGGTACAACTTAACCCCTTACTCCACAATGCTGGCCACTAATATTTAGTTCTGATTTAAAAATTTTAGTAGCCAAATTTAAGTTTTCCTACATTAGAAAAAAAAATTGCTCTGGCTAGCAAGAAGGCCAAGGCTAAACTTAACCCTCATATGATATCATTTAGGCTGCGGTTAAAAGTACTTATCTTATTTTTGCAAAGCACCAGCATGTGTGCACAGATACAAATCTTTACATATGATTTTGAAACATTTATACAGACTGTCTTATGACTATCCAAGGATTCTCTTGAGAAGTTGGCAAATTTCAAGTTAAACAGCTTTGTTGCAAAAGTTTATAATTTTCTTCTGATTTAAGTTATTATAATAAATAAGTAAAATACATTACTAGATGTATATAAGATACGAGATGTATAATTAACATATATTGATTAGCTAAAAACTGTTATAATCACCCTTTCCATTCACGTAGCAGGCTGTTAATGATTCCCTTTAACACGGTCTTCTGAATGTCTTGAGGCTGTAGGTAAAAATAACGAGGCAATAAGTATTAGCCATTTAGGGTGCCTGTTGTGTTCATTATACTTACAGATCTATTTCAGTGGTTCATGATGGAATTCTAGGAGGAGGACTGACATGGCAGTACTGACTTTATGTTTGAGAACCCGAGGAGCACAAATGACAAGATTGTAATGAGAACTCGCTGTAAGATGTGCAGCAGAGCATGCACAAGCATAGAACCTGCACAAGTTGGTGACCTTACAACAGCTTCACGTTTTACTTTACTTGATAATATTAAATCACAACACAAGTCCAGGAGTGGCAAGTTTGCCAACATAAAATGATTACATGTATTTTGTATGCATTCAGTTCTATTATATTACAATTAGGAGTTAAACCCACAATTCCTTGTTAAGAGAAACCAAACTATATTAAAAATATGGCAACAAGAAGGCGGCTTTTTTTTTTCATTGTAAGATAGATTTAGGAAACTCATAAAATATTCCTCTGTTGTTTAATATTCAAATAATCTTTATTTTTTTAAGATTTATTTTTATTGGAAAGTAAGACACAGAGACACAGAGAGACAGGAAGATCTTATGTCCACTGCTTCACTCCTCAAGTGGCCACAAGGGCCAGAACTGTGTCAGTCCAAAGCCAGGAACCAGGACCTTCTTCCGGGTCTCCTGCATGGGTGCAGAGTCCCAAGGCTTTGGTCCATCCCCGTCTGCTTTCCCAGGCCATGAGCAGGGAGCTGGATGGGAAGCAGAGCAGCCAGGACACAAACCAGCACCCATATGGAATCCTGACACATGCAAGGTGAGAGCTGTAGCCACCACACTACTCCACCGGGCCCTCAAATAGTCTTTACTGCCGACTATGTCAAGAATGAATGAAAATGAAATACTTTCTCTCACAAAAGAATGAAACCTCATTAAGTAGAAGCTGAAATAATTTGTAAGGTATATGTGTCTTGCCTGTGGGCAAGAGAATCAGCTTATTCTGTGGTTTGCTTAAAGACAGCAGTCATGATTTCCAGGACATTGGCTACTGCCATCCATTAAGCCTTGCTCAGATTCCTTTCTCTGCCATTGCTCACAGTGACCCTTCACCCTCAGAAAACAAACACTGACCCTGCTCGGTCACTTAGTCTAGTCAGTGTCTGCTCCGAGCAAGGTAAGACTGTGGGAGAAAAGTCAAGCAACACACCAGCTCGGTAATCACTAACCGCACAAGCACTCTCGACACCACTGGCAATTCCATCACCTATCTCAGGCTCATTCGCTTCCATACTCTCCAAGCATCGAAGCGAATCTGCCTATCCAGGTTTTTGTTTTTTCTTTGTTGTTTCATGATACTGATATATTTGAAAAGTTAGGCCATTTGTGTTGTTGGCCAGAATATCCATTAAGGTATCCTGCTACTTTCTTGTAATTAGTTTTAGTTGATGTAATTACTGGACAGGAAGATTTCTGAGTGTTTCTTTCTCAGTATATCACATCAAGAAGCCCTTGATGCCACTTTGGTGATTCAGTAAACTAGGAAAGATAATTATTATGCCAATCATTGCCCTGATGCAAACCTAGAGATTTTAATTTTGTCGTTCCTCCTACACCTATTAGTTCATATCCCACTGTTGCAAAGGCCTTTCTTTCTCCTACATTTTTCTACCTACCAATCATCTATTTATTTAGTTATTACCAGTATGGAATGAAAAATTCTCATTATACCTAGTAGGTTATAGTTCATTATTATTTTAAAAGCCAAATTACCTAAGATTTGGCCATTAACTCTTTAAGCTGGCTCCTATAGCATACCTTCAGAATTTCCTTTATTAATAAATAATGGACTTTACCTGTTAAAGCATTTTGGGTTTCTGGGACAATCATACAGAAAAGTATAGAGTTTCTATATACCCCTCTCCTCCTCTCCCACAGTGACTGTGGTATACTTACTACAATCAATGAACCCAGTATTGATAAAATAATAAGACTCTAAAGTTTGTATTAGAGTTTATTTCCATACTATATAGTTCTGTAGCCTTTTCAGACTGGTTTCTTTTACTTAACAATAGACATTTAGGATTTTTCCATGTCTTTTTTATGGCTTTACAGTTCATTTATTTTTATTACTGATTACTATTCCATGGTATGGAGGATATACCACGATTTGTTATTCATTCACCTACTGAAAGATATCTTAGTTGCTTCCAATGTTTTTGCAATTATCAATAAACTGCTATAAATATTTATTTGCATGTTTGGGAGAAGATTTAAATTTGTAACTTGGCTGAATATCTTAGAACATGACTGTTGGGTCATATGCTAAACCTATGCTTAGTTTTGTAAGAACAACAACAAAAAAGAAAATACAATATATCAAAATATCTGGGATTCTCAAAGCAGCACTTTTCAGAGGTGAGAAACTATTCTGCTAAGACCATGGGTATTTGTAACATCCTATGCAGTTCCTATAAAACTATAAACTGAAAACTCAGCCTGCTATCAGTGTATTGAAGTTTAAGTCCCATCTTAGGTTGGGAGCACCAACAAAATGATTTTGTAGGCGTTATGCAGCGCAATAGCTGGGCAGCCCTCATTCTTGACTTAAGGCAAATGTAAGAAGGGGCTTCAAAAAGCTTGTAGAGAAATGGAATTAAAAGGTGGTTTTGGTGCAAAATGTTTTGAAATCCATGTGATTTTTTCATAATAGGCATTTTAAATGAAATTTTTAAACTTTTAAAATAGCACTGACTGAATATATTAGGAGAAGAGATCTGATATCAGTTATTTAAACTCCAACTTAGGAAATTAAATCCAACAAGAAGAAGGAAAGACATAAGAAAAATCAGCAGAAAACAATGAATTCAGAGAACTGATAGTGGAAACCAACAACAACAAAAGGGAAACCCCAAACAAATGCTCTTTTTCTGTAGAGATCAAAGATTCGCAAATCTGTAGCCAGTCTAGTCAGACTAAACCTCTTGGCTAGCCTGACTAATCAAAAAAGGGGGAAAAAAGCAGACCTCAGCAACACCAGAAATAAAGGAGGAGCATCATTACTGATCCTGTGGATGGGGAAAAAGAAATACAGGACATTATGAACAATTCTGTGCCCACAAATCTGATAACCTACATGTGTTTCTTAAAGATACAATATACAAAATCATCTGATAACCAGATCGTGTAGATAAGCTTATGTTCTATTAAACAAATGGGATTAATTGATAATCTTATAACAGAATGCACCAGGCCCAGGTAGTTTTATTAAAGGAAAAAATGATACCAATTTCTTAAAATTTCTTCCAGAAAACAGAAGTAGAGAAACTACTTCTGAACTCTTTCTGTAAGGCCAGGATTATCCTGCTACTCAAACCATAAAAACATATTACAAGGAAGAAAGATTCTGAACTAATATGTTTCATGAATATTGATGCAAAGCCTCTCAAAAAAATCCTGGCAATTAAAGCAAAAATTATTTTTTTTAATTTTTAGTTTTTAAAAGATGCTACATCTCAGGGGTTTTGACATTTTTATTCTCATTCATTCAAAAAAGTTTTTTTTTTTTAATTAATTTCCTCACTGACTCATACTTTACACAGTAGCATCGTTTGCTTCAAAGCTTTTGATTTTCTTTTTCATTTCTTCAGCTACACAATGGTCATTCAGTAGAATGTTATTTAACTTCATGTTGTTGTAAATTTTCTATTTTTTTCTTCCTATTGATTTTGTTTCTTGGCTTTTCATTTAAGGGGATGTACAGTAACTGTGTTACAGAGACTATCATATTGAGATGTGAAGATACAATGTAGTATTCATCGCTACTTCTAAACCAAATATGGACTCACAATGAAACTGTTAAAAATATCTTGACAAGAAGAAAAATCATATCACACCAACAGATGCAAAAGAAGCAGATGATAAAGTCAGCACCCATTTAGAATTGAAACATAACTCTCTCAGAAAACTTGAAACAGAGAATTTCCTACTCTTAATACTGAATACTCAGAAAAACGTAATGAGTATATCATACTTAATTATGATATTGGATTTTTTTAGGTTTATGTTATACCTTCTTTTCCCCAGTCATGGAATCAGCCATTTCTCTAAGGAGTTCTGGTTTCTTTTAGCAGGTAATGACATTTGAAAACCAAAATGTGAATGCTGAAGTGCTCATCACCACTGGGAAGTTACTGCTTCAAGGGCCTTTCCATGCAGAGGACCAAGAAAGAGACATGCAGACACCTGTGTCTGTTAAAATCCATGAGCTCATCATGAAATCTTCAAGTCTGCTTCAGTACCTAGGATGACCTTAGCCTTTCCCCTGCTGCTTCTTGAGAGGTGAGTATCACTAGTGTTTACTCATGGGCTTAGGTCAACAGGAGTTTCAAATTGTCAGCCCGTGCTACTTAAAGTGAGAAAAAAAATTAATAAGGTTTATTTAGGCTTTTTTTCAATCTTTGTCTTAAGAAAACAGGTAGTTATTTCAAAAGTTCATGGAAAATGGAATTAAAAGATACATTTATTTTTGTACAAAAGATTTTAAATACAAGCATATAGGAGACCTTTAAAAAGTTAATGGAAATGCACATTATGCAAAAACTGCACAATTTTCAACATTTTTGTACCCAGATAATCTTATCTTTTACTTCTATATTTCAAAAATCTTTCAAAGTACTTTTGCATAATATGTAAAAGTCATTGTTTAATATTAATTGTTGTAATATTCAAGCTGTTGTTTGGTTTAATTATTTTAGGGTTGTATCCTATGATTTTCCCTTATGTCTGTGGACCTATTTTTTTAGTGTGAATAAAATAATACCATTCCAAGTAAATGAACAAATAAACAAAACCAAAAGAGAAGTGTACCCAAGAGTAGAGCTAACACATCACAGTGTATGCATATATGTGTTTACTATTAATAGAAAATGCCAGGAAGTTCTCCAAAATGTTTGCAATTTATACTCACTGATATGACACTTTGCTTGTTCTACAATATTGCCAATTCTTGATAAGGTTTTTGAAAATGAAGTGTTAATTTCTGTGATAAACAATATTACTTAATAGTGACATACTCAGAATGGGAGTAAGATAGAGATCTGCTATTACTTCTTTTATTCAAAGTTGTATAAGAGGTCCTAGCTAGTACAATAAGGCAGATATAATTAGCCATTTATAAAACATGTAAGGAGAGAAAAAGATAAAGCCCTTATTTTTCATGAATGACATGATCATGTAATTAGAAAATCCAAATAAGTCCATTGATATATTATGTAACACTTCTACCAAGAAAGCTACAAAATACCGCTGAGATAAATTAGAGGTGATCTAGGGAATTGGAGGATATACCACATTCAGAGATTGAAAAGCATGTCAATTCTTAACAAACCAATAAACAGCAGTAAAGTTCTCAAAATGTGGTTCTTGAATCAGGAGCACCGAGTTACGAGGGATCTTCCAAAAGTTATTGGAAAATGCAAATCATGAAAAATTTACATGGATTAAAATATTTTAGCACCAAAATAAATGCATCTTCTAATTCAATCTTTCTACTAATGTTTTGAAATATTCTTACACCCTGGAAATTTTACAAATTAAAATTATTGGTCTTTGCTCAAGACCTACAATTCTGAAACTATTTTAACAAGCCCTTCTTGTGATCCTGACACATGCTAATGTTTAACAAGCACAGTCCTGTAAGCTCAGTGCCATTCCAACAAGATCAAATAACTTACCTCCTTTTGCTGAGCAAATGAAGTATGATTTTAGCAAGTCTTCATAAACAGGGCAAATGGAGGTGAAAATATATTCTACGTAAAATAATCAAATTTGTACAACAGAATCTGAGCTACATTTATGATACAGTATTTCAGTAATTCATACCAACTGTAAGTACTCCTGTATCCTAGAAATGTCACAAGATGACTTTTGCACTGTTTGAGTGACTGCATTTGAAAGGCGAAGAAACAGAGACCTGCGCTACTTGCACGTGACCACAAGCAATACTTACAGTGTTAAGTAAGGCATCATATACCACATTCACAAATTTAGCATTAATCCCAGAGTCTTCAATGCTATTAAATGAGGCAGTGGCATCTTTCTGCAAATTCAATTAAAAAAATCAGATGTATATAGCATTTTAAGGACTATCTTAGTTACATTTGAATCATACTATTCCTATAATTTCTACTATTTATTAGTCTAATGAACTGCTAGGACAAAACTGCTGAAAATAAAATGAACATGTATGTATCATTTTAATAGCTTCCTTCTTTAAAAGAACAAAGGATTCAAATATTAACATTAAAATGAAAACAGTTTAAGATAGCAAATAATATTTTTGATACATATAATTTCAGAAATACATATCAAATTCTCATATATGTTTGTCTGAATAGTGGCTTAAGTCAATCTTTGGTACCAAATGAGGTAAATTTGTCATATCTTTTTCTGAAATGTTAAAAAACTCAAAATTAATGAGAAATGTGTTATATGTGTTATTACCTTAAATGCAGCATTTAATTCTGGGAAAGAATCAAATGTTGTTAGATAAAAATCATGTACTGCTTTCCAGTCACCTGATGACTTAACTTTTTCTACATCTTCCCTATAATGAAAACATATATTAACCATATATAAATACTTACATAAAATAGCATTACTTTTTTTTGCAAATAAATGCCAGCAAAATACAATTTGAGATATTGAAATAAATACAGAATTATGTTCCAGTTAACAAAAAGTTTATGAATTTCTAGCTGTTAATCAGATCAACCTATTAATCCAGTTTCAACGTGCCCATTCACCTCTTTTTCTTTAACGTTTATTCTTAACATGCCCCTTCCAGTCATCACTTGCTCGTTCCCTTCCTGTTAAAGCTAAACTTGGGAAGATTTTGCAGATATTCTGTGTCTCTGCTTTTTCAATCTCACTTTGTCCTTCAAATATACATTTGGGTTATTTGAGTGACATGACTTTTATAGAGTCATAGAGTAGAAGGACTTTTGGGGTAAGTTTTGGAGTTTTAACTATTCTGTTGATCAGGTTTGTTTGTTTGCTTGTTTGCTTGTTTTTCTAAGGGTAGTTGATTTATTTGGAAGGCAGGGTCAGAGAGAGACAGATTGAGATCTCACTCCCAGGATGGATACAACTGCTGGGTCTATGAGAGGCTGCAGCCAGGAGTCAGGAACTCCATTCTGATCTCCCAAATAGGTGGAAGGGGGCCAAAGCACTTGGGCCATCTTCTGTTGCTTCCCCAAGGGCATTACCAGGGAGCTGGGTCAGAATTGGAGCTACCAGGACTCAAACCAGCACTTCTATGGGATGCTGGTGATACAGGCAGGAGCTTAGTTCACTGCACCACAACACCAGCCCTGAAACCCTCAGGTTTTTAAAATGGCAACATTATATTATTTTATTATCACCTTAGTCATTTTTGCCTATAGTGATTCATACTTTCTTACTTAGTGTTTCTTTTGCTGCAAAATATGTAACCCCAACTAATTTTCATACACTTTTTTTTAACCTTCAACTGGAGACATCTAAGTTTTGTGTCCCTATCCTTGACTAATAAATTTTAATGATCCATAAAGTTGCTTCCTCACAGGAGGATGCTGAATTACATAACATGATGACATGCAGATAAATGACTATAGTTTTACATATAATAGCAAGCTGAAACTTACTGAAAGTCTTTCATGGTTTTGGATTGGATAGGAAGGGAAGGTTCTGGAAGGGCTGGGGCCTTTGTTTCAGATGATGATGCATCTAGAGAAAGCCGCTGTTTTTGTCTAACATCAAGGCAAACTGGTGGTAGGTCTCTTACTGCAAAGCACAAAAAAAATTCAATGTAATTAATCATAAATCTCTTAAATTATACAATGCCAGGCTAATTCACTAAAGCGGAAAATGAATCATTTTGTCCTGCAATTTGTTTTTCTTGTCCCATGGAGTCTTCATTTTTCCTTTGCTAAATGTTTCTTCACATTTTTGTTCCTTTGTTGTTTTCCCAGAGCAGCTGGAGTTAGCATGGCTAGACTCTAGTCATTATCCTAGATCTGTCTCTTAATGTATTCTAATTCATTTTGACCTGTTTTGTAGGCATGGTTTCTGATGTGATTTTAATGTCTGAATGACTGTTAATTTGCTAGTCTCTTTATTATTATAACAACATTTTATACTTAAAAGTTAAATAATTGGACCAGTCCTTTTCTGTTGACACTTTTATTAGAAATCAGCTTTCACAAACTTTTAGAGTATGGTATAGGTATTTTGGGCTGTTTTGATACAGAACTCAAAGATATGATGGCTTGCTTTTTGAGATTTCTAGGCCGTAGATCTTCTCCACTTTTTGTCAAAGTACTCTTTTCCCTTCATTTCTATGATCTCTATGCTTCTAATTCTTACCCCAGAATGGGGTCCTGGCCTGGGACTGGAACCTAACAAGTCTGTTTTTACAATCTCAAAAGTTTCACTGTTCCATTTATACTTTTTTAAATAAAAAGTTTCATTTTTAAATTTATTTGAAAGGCAGCTATTAAGAAGAATGAAATTATACCATTTACAACTAGGTAGTCCCAACTAGAGACCATTATGCTCAGTGAAATAAGTCAATCACAAAAGAACAAATACCATATGTTCTCTCTAATATAAGGAAAACATCATGTAAGTTCAAAAAGTCAACCCATACTGGTGTATGTTTGCTTTTGGCTGCATCCCATGTGTTTTATGTTTTTTATTTCAGTTTCATTTATTTCAAATACTTTCTTTTCTCTTGTCGAATTCATCACTGGCTCATGGGTTACACGGTGGTATCATTTTTCCCAAAAGACTTTTGCGTTTCCTTTTTGTCACCCATGTGTCAGTTAGTCAGTGGTGTGTTTTTTCATGGTACTTTAATATGTTGCTGTTGTGGCTGTTGTTCTAAGTCATACCGATTGCTGACCTTATTTCATGGCTTTTCATTTATGGAAATATATAGTGATGGAGTACTAGGGACTACCATATCCAGATGTGGGGGTACAATGCAACATGCATCCGTGCTTCCAAACAAAAGAGGGACTCCCAATGAAACTGTTGAAATGTGTGACAATGGGATGCTGCACTGACATGTACCAGCTGTGTTGGGGCACACGTAAATAAGAGACTGATGGAATTATGACCCCTTTGAAGGACTATACAATTATAGCAACATGGAGAAAATGTGCCAGGGGGTGGGAGTTTGGGGTGGAATCCCAGTCAATACGAAATTGTGCCACAAAAATTCAAAAACTTAAAAAAAGAAAGAAATGTGGAGTCTGTTAAGGCAAGAGTCAAAGGTGACATTAATAATTTAGGCTGACTGCTGGGTGAATAATGATGCCATTTAGTGACATATGGCATACCAGAGAAATAGTGGTTTGTTTCATGGAGAAGAGAAAGATAGAAAAATAAAATGTTCTCTTCTGTAAAATGTTAAATATAAGATGCTTATTAGAGATCCAAAGTGCAGAGGTTAAGCAGGTAATTAAGCATATCAATGTAGAATGCAGAGGGAAATGTGAAGATTTATAGCTTATGAAAAGTAGTGAAATTGTGGGAATAATGAGATTCCAAAGGAGTGTGTCAGAGAAGCCTGAGAATTGAGTTCTAGGAAAAGGAACAATCCAATATTAGACACTAAATATTTCATTAATTTTTTGATTATCCTCAGGGAGAAACATTTAAGGCTGTGACTCTTATGTATAGCTTTAGCACTCTCCTGTAAGTTATCGTGTAATATTCTCTCTCTCTCTTTAAAGATTTGTTTATTTTTAGTAGAAAGGCAGGTTTTTGGAGAGAAAGAGAGAAAGATCCCCCATCTGCTGTTTCACTCCCCAGATGGCCACAACAGCCAGAGCTGAACCAATCCAAAGCCAGGAGCCAGGAACTTCTTCTGCGTCGCCCACGTGGTGCAGGCCCTAAGGACTTGGGCCGTCCTCTCCAGTATCCCCAGGTTAAAGGCAGGGAGCTGGAGAGGCAGTGGGATCCTGCACTTATAAAGGGAGCATTAGCCAATTTAGCCAGTGCACCAGGCCCATATGATATTCTCATGAGTGTTATCTTTTGAAACTTAAAATTTTAGTTCTGATTCTTTCCCTGATAAATTAAGGAGACTTTAAAAAGTTCTAACCCAATAAACTTAAACTTCTGTTATTAAATATACTTTTATGGTAGTACAGTCAAAAAACATAGAATTTTTCATATGGGTAATTTATAATTATGGTCTATTGTGAATTTTTAGAAGATATGTTGATATATGTAATCTCTTCCCTTTATATAAACAGAAAAACAATGCATACACAAAATTAAAATAACTATATTCTGCTTGATATAATCTAGATAATAGTCTTTTTTCGCCTATATGTCTTACAGATATTTTCTCTATGATGCAACTTGTCTTTTCATTCTAGGAACAGTTATTCTCATAGAAAGATGAATTTTGATGAAGTCAAATTTATAAATTTTTCTTTTATGGATTATGTTTTTAGCATCAAATTTAAAGGTTCTTTTCATTTTTAGTCTTAAATCCCAAAGATTTTCTTCTATGATTTGGTTGGTTTATAGAAGTTTAATGTTTTTACATTTGAGTCTGTGATTAATTTTAACCTATATTTAATAAGATGTGAGATTGAAGATGATGCTGATTTTATTTCATTTGGTGTATAATGAATTTTTTGTACCTTACAATTTAGCGTGTTTGTGTGGTTCTATTCTTAGGCTCTCTGTTCCATCAAATTCTATATCTACTTCCGTTAATACCTCACAGTCTGACTGTAGTGGCTATACTGAAATCAGGTAGACTGATTCTTTTTATCCCTTTATTAGTTTTCAAATAATTTTTAGCTATTCTAGTTCTTAAATTTACAACTAAAGATTTTATTTTTAATAATAAGCTACATATTTTAAATCTGAACATCTGTTCACTGTTAACATGAATATAATTGATATTTATACATTTATTTTTTATCTCTCTTTAAAGATTTGCTTATCTGAAAGAGTCATGGAGAAAGAGTGAGGCAGAGAGATATTTTTCCACTGGCTCACTCCCCACATGGCCACCACGGGCAGGCAGAAGCCGGGAGCTTCATCCGAGCCTCCTGCATGGGTGCCAGGAGACCGTGCTGCACTTGGGCCATCAGCAGGGACAGGAACTGGTGTTCGTAAGATGCCAGTGTTGTAGGCAGCAGCTTTCCTGGTTACACCATGATACCAGCCTCTATTCTGTATTAAAAGCTTGTTGAATTCACTTTAGTTCTGGAATTATTTGTAGACTCCTTTGGATTTTTGTGTAGACAGCCAAGTCATTTGCAAATATAAGGAAAGTCATTTTCTGAACTGTACATCTTTTCTTTTTCTTGCCTTCTTTTGTACTGGCTTGAGGAAAAGTGGTAAGAGCAAACACCTTGGGGACTTTTGACAATAAGGAGAAAAGCTCATTATCACTCCCTGCTAAATAAATGTAAGATGCAGGGTTTTTTTTTTTTTTTTAGTTCCCTTTTTAAAGTTAAGACTACCACCTTGATTCCTGTCATGCTATGTAAGAGTACCAGGAATAGACATCTTTTTATTTATTTCATTTTTTAAAAGATTTATTTATGTGTATAAATAAAGTCAAATTTACAGACAGAAGGAGAGACAAAGATCTTTCATCAGCTGGTTCACACCCCAATGACTGCATAGGCTGGAACTGAGCTCATCCAAAACCAGGAGGAGGAGCTTCTTCCAGGTCTCCCAAGCAGGTGCAGGGTCCCAAGGCTTTTGGCCATCCTTTACTGCTTTTCTAGGCCACAAGCATGGAGCTGGAGCTGGAAGGAAATGGAGCAACTGGGCACAAACTGGTGCCCATATGGGATCCCAGGCATGCAAGGTGAGGACTTTAGCCACTAGGCTACTATGTTGGGTCCAGGCAGGACCCATGTTGGGTTTCAGGAGGAAAACCTGTAACCTCTCATCATTATATAAAATGTTACCTGTTGGTTTTTTTCTAGAAGCTTTATTATCAAGTTAAGGAATATCACATTATCTCTAATTTTTCTGAAATGTTTTTCTTCATGGATTGATATGATCATGTCATCTGTATTTCTAAAAAAATGTGTTTATCTTTTATTTGAGAGGGAGGTGAAGACACACTGAGAGAATGTGAGTGGACATCACAGTCCCCTCCCCCCACTGGTGCATTCCCAGCAGTTTGCCCATGGCCTGGCCAAGTTGGGAGCCAAGAACTCAATTCAGGTCTTCCATGTGGGTGGTTATAAACTTCACAACTCTAGCCATCACCTCTCCCTTCCCAGAACACACACCAGCAAGACCCTGGAATCAGGAGTGGAGCTAGGATCAGAACCCAGACACTGCAGCTGAAGGTAACTGCCTAGGTTGTCTTGTCCCTAGGCAAGTGTTACACTGGGATAAAAGTAGCCAGTAATTCAAGGGCTTTCTGGGTCTGGTTAATGTCAAATTTGTGTTAACTATACCAATATGCCAAGATAGTTGCTTATTCTTTTTCCTTTTTTTAAAAAAAATTTATAAGACATGTGGAAGGCCAGGAATGCCAGGCTGAGTCATACCACCCTGGCACCCATGCTGGGGGTAGGGGAGGCTGTAGAATGCTCAGGGAAGGGGGTCTAGGGTCATATTGCAGTGAGAGCAGCTAAGGACGTGTTTGACAGGAAGGATGATTTCTGAGTGCATCTGTGGTCTAAGCCACAGCACTTTTAGATAGGTGAGGGATCTGAGATAGAGTGGTTTAGAGGAGGGAAACTGGAGGGCATGTCTGGGTCAGCAAAAACCAGGGGTGGGGCGGGCCT